CTGATAACGCACAGATACACAACCACTATACGAATTCACTACACAAAACTAACACTATTATTGTGTTGGAATTATCCGAGTGGTAATTTAGGGGAGACCGGTCACGGTTAAGGGAAACGGTCAACGTCAGCATTGACGCAGTATTGCTACCTCTTAGAAGTAGTACCTCTAAGTTAGTTTAGGCTTAAAAAAATTTGTAGACGGTTTGAGTTTAATTGTTAAGCTAACACTACTATTTTGTTAGAATAAGCCAATTGGAAATTAGAGGAGACTAGTAGAATCTTTTTTTTATTATCTCTTTCATTTACAACTGTACAGTAATGAACATTCAATAAATTTGATGAATTTACAATAGTCGGCCAAAAAAGGACATTGTACACTACAAGGGCATGTTAGAAACAAAACAACTCAGTAGTTGTTTTTCCATTCGATATAAAATTCACAATATTTTATTGTTAATTATTTTAACTATTTACTTATTAAATAATTTCTTATGAATAATGATTAAGTTAATTTAATGTACAGAAGTTTAATGAAAAAATTCAACACGAACAATGTAGGTACAGTGCATGATAGTTCATTGTATAATCAAATTATTTGAAAAACAATAGTTTACAATTTAGCCAACACTACACTACTATTGTTTTAGAATGATCCAAGTATTAATTTAGGAGAGGCTATTTATGATTTCTTAGCGTAGTGCAAGAATCCTCTTAGCAAGAGCATTTTATGTTTAAAAAACTAGCCACTTAGTAGACACTGTAAGTTTAGTGGATAAATTAATGAGCCTATTCTGCCGCACAACAGACCAATGTTATGGCAAGGTCATGCTACTCTTCAACTTGCATACATTATGCTACTAATCACAATGAATACTATCAAAATGTCATGTATTTGCTATTCTTTTCAGGCGTTTTATACATAAACTGCAACGTTACTCGTATGTTATGAAGCTGAGTCAGAAAGACCCTGTTATCTAATATCGTTTTTTTGACATTTGTGCGGTTTTTAGGTTAGGTTTTCTATCTGATAACCTGAGGAAAACGCGTGACTGCACAGCAACCACGTGGCTTTTCTCAAATTTGGTATGGAAAGTTCTTTATAACATAGCCTTCCCATAACATTTGTCTGTTGTGTGGCAGAATCGGTCCATAAGCTTAAAAAAATAGTAGGCACTATGCATTTTTCTGAAACTATTATCTAGAATTATCCGAGTTGTAATTTAGGGGAGACCGGTCACGATTAAAACAAGAATGAATGCATATCATATTTGGAAAAAAAAAATTGTATAAAAATATAGTATCTATTTTTAAATATGAAAGAAAGTAATTTTGGTTTATGTCCGCTATTTTATAATGTGTTTTATTATTTATTTATAATATTTTTATTTTTTTGTATGAGTGTGATGTTTAAACGACATTTTGCTTTTGAGACTTGTGCTTAAAAATTTGAATTTATAATTGGAAGTTTACACTCACTTTTTTTATTTGAAAAAGTTACAGCTTTCTCTTCTTTATGAGTTTAAATTTTTAAGTTTTAGTTATTTTTGTATAAAATCAGAGTTCAGTATTTTATGCCCGTTTCAAAGATCAAATTGGTTTTTATTCTAGTTTTATATTTTAGTACTGATGTAGTCATCGATTAGTTATTAATATAATTTTTATATTTAATTTTACTGACAATTATTACCTTTACTTCAATTTGTATGAGTTTTATATGCATCAATCTTAACTTCAAATGTACTAAACAATTAAACATATTCTAGAAATTTTGTGTCAAATTTTAAAACTGAATATTTTTATTTTTATTAAAAATTTTATATAACCAAGACAATATTGTGTCAGCAAAATTAAGTTAATAAAGTAATTATTTACGCAACTTAATCGCATTCAAACTTCTTTGGTGATTAATTAAAATATTTGTCATTATTGAAAATTATACAAATATTTATTATATTTTTATCAATATATTTCTCGACGTGTTACTTTTCATATGTTGAAATATCTATGATTAAAAGGCTTTTTACATTCATTCAGATATCAAACACAAAACTATATTATAATCAAAAAAATTTAAAAAAACTTACGTTTTGAGTTCCAATTGACTCATATTTAGTGGACAAAATTACAAAATATAAATATAAAAGTAATATAATAAATTTTCAAAACTTATGGAAAGAAATTATGATAAAAATACAGCAAGTCAAAACTAGTTGTAAAAATACAGTCAAAAATAATCAATACTAATATATGTACTTCTGACACAATTTTAATGTCTTATATTAAATAGTGTTAGAATTGATTTGATCTTTCCAAATATTTTGAATTAATTCAAAAACTATAAACAAGCTGATAGAATTATTGCTGATTCATATATAATTTTCATTTTGTATATTTTACATTGATTCTGCAGTACCAAAATTATCAATTATTGCAGGAAAACAATTAAGAAACAAATTGATGTAAACGTTTCAAACTGAATTAATTATTATATTAAATATTCGTTAGAATCACAACACAATAAAATATTTCTGTTTGGCAAAAATCAAATTTTAAATTTGAAAAATAAAGTATTGACATCAGAAATTCAAAATCAACATAAACTTATACCAAGAACATATTTACAATAGCAAAATAAAAATTGTTTGTCAAAATTGTTCTCATCATGTTCTCAACAAGTAAAATTCCTGTCATGTTTAGTGGAAAGTAAGTAGATAATTTTTCACCTAAACTCCCCTATCTTTTTTGTATTTTCTTCCATGGTGCACCCGTTGTTATTTTCCGCACTAAGAAGGAATGATATGGGTTAGTTAGCTTTTCTATTCTAAATAGAAAGGGTAATATGGATGATCTTTTTATTACATCTAATCGGATTATCGTGCCCTAAAATGTCGTCAATGGAGCCAAAAAATGGATTGATGGAAGGCAAAGTCAGGGGCGAATTTATATTGATTTAGTCCTATAAAATCAAATTTGGTAATAGAAAATCAAAGGTCTTATAACATACAGACATATCATGAAGAAGTGTATATTTTTATTAATAATGTTTATGCACCTGAATGGATAATTGATCTATAAAGATCGATATGGTAATAATTTTTACATTAATTTTTATAACATATACCAAAATGAGTAGAAAAAAATATTCATCATTTTTTTTGAAACTCGAAGAGATTTTTAACTGTTATTATTTAAATATAAATTCAATCAAATTATTTTATATTTCATACAATTTGCCTCAATTGAAATCAGGACAAAAACATATTTGATGGATCTGTTTTGCATCTGTTTATGTCAAAATCAAATTAATTATATAATTAGCAAAATCGACAATGCCCATAATAGATTTCGCTTGTAATGACATTTAGAGGTAATTTATCCTAATGAATTTGTACATGGCAAAATTTAATTATCGAATAAATCTAATTACGTTTTGATCTTTGATGTGAAATATCACACTATGCAGTAATATATACACTAATAATAATTAGTAAATTATTACATTGATAAAACGTCAGTAACAATCTTATAATTATATATATATATATATATATATATATATATATATATATATATATATATATATGATAAGGTTTTTCAGCCACAAGTCAAAACAAACAATATCAAGATATATATATATATATATATATATATATATATATATATATATATATACAAACAGGAGAGGTAACTTCTTATTTTAATAAGTTGAATGTAATTTTTTCTAACAATAAGTAAAGTTACTTATTTAAGTGAACTATCTTCTAATCATAATATACATTTTTGCAGTTTAAAAATACGTATTTTTTATTATATAATTTACACTATACGGGTGTAATGTAAAGTTTTTGACCCCATCTTTCAAAAATTATATATACTGTTACTATTGATTTCATATACAATGTTTTATATTATATCAAATATGTGGCAAATAAAAATAGATTTGACAGTTTTAACTGATATTGACGTTTTTAACTAAAAAAAGCTTATGTTCGGACTATTCAATTAATAATTTCAAAATAATATTATTTGTCATTCAAAACTAATGATTATTAGTAATTTATTATATTAATAAAAATACATCAACCAGAGTGACTTATTTTAATAAATTGAATGTAAATTTTTTATAGTCAAGTAAACTTACTTATACAAGTGAACTATCTTCATGTGGAAATTTTATTAAATTAACTTTCTAATCATAATTACATTTTTTTTATTTTTCTTTTAATTTGAAATGTGTATTTTATTATAGTATTTATCCTCAGGTAATCAAAAAAAACATTGTCTCAAAAATTAGATTGACAATTCTAAAAATTTCATATAAAAAAAATATTAAAATTATTTCTCAATCAGGATATGGTTTGGCATAAACAGCTTAATGTTAGAAGCATTCAATTAATAATATTAAAATAACATTATTAGTAATTTTTCTAAATTACTTATTACTAAATACAAAGAACTAATAACATATTTCAACTACGATTGGATAAAAACTAATTATAATTGAATATTACCTTTTTCTTGTTTTTATAATCAAAGATGTGAACTCTATAACTTTTAAAGATTTATATATTAAATTAGTAGTGTATGGCACCGTGCCTTAAGGCAAATTTAAAAAAAAATTACAAAACAATATTTAGCAAAATAAATAAAGTTTGAATTACAGCTGTTGTTCAATCAGGCTACGGTTTGGCATGACGTGCTTGCCATACCAAACTATATCTATTCATAATATCACATAATTGACGTTATTTTGTCAAAAAAGCTATATTCGACGTAGTTAATTAATAATTTCAAAATAATGTGACAACTTTTCTAAATAATAAATACTTACAACTCTTATATTTCAACTACCTTCGGATGAGAAGTACTTTTTCTTGTTTTTATAATCCGAAATATGAATTCTCCATGTTTTAAAATTCCGTGTATTAAAATCAATATCTTTAATTTAGCAACGTTTTATTTATTAATATATTAATAATATTTTTTTATTTTTTGCAGGTTAAATATCGTTCACAATACTGGTGGCGATGTGACTGAATTAAGATTGTCGTCCACACAAATTTCTGATGAAGATTTATATACTTGCGAAGGAACATTTATTGCACCAGAAGACAACTGTGAAAGTGTTACTACAATCCAACTTAATATATTAGGTAAGTCAATAAAATTAATCAAAATTAATTATAAATTTAATATTCTTAAAGCAATAGAATTTTTTTTAAATGTTTTACTGATTTATATTAATATTTTGCACCAATTAATAAATTGAAACTTTGGAAGTATCACAAATAAAAAGAACAACCATTGGGTTGCCATCTAATAAAAGCTAGATATTAAAAATCCTTCACAAAACAGCTCATAGAACAATTATGGCTGTTGTTCAAATAAAAAATACAACATACAATAATAACATTAACAGTATAAGTTGGTAATGAATATGTTTGAGAGTATGTATAGTAATAAATTGATTTAACCTAAAAAAATACTTGGCGTTTGAGTTGTGGTTATTAGATTTAGATTAGGCTAAGTAAATTTCTTACGGAGATAAAAAAATAAATAAGTAATTTTTATATCATTATCAAGCCTGGTGCCACCGGTTTCTAACAAATCCCTAAGATCATTAGAGAGATGTTTCCCAAGAACAATGATTACTCGATTAATCAATATACTCCAGGTCCCAAGATGATTTTCAAGGATTTTCTCACTATGTTATCCCACAAAAGAAATTCTTTTAAATATTATATAAAATATTCAAAATTTAAATAATTATCTCTTGGTCCACCCTGTAATTTTGGAGTCAATACATGTCCGAAGCAATCGATATACTTGAGAGATCTAATTCATGTGATTATACTGCACGCAAATAGGCCTAGGCCTATATAAGCCATTTTCCTATTATCTTAGATGCATCTATTCCTAATCTACGGAATCGGATCTATTTAACGCAAACCGGTGTCCATAAATTGGTTCAGATTATCTAGTTCGGTCTATTACTAAATAGGATCTACTGATATCGATGCGTATTGCGAAATGAACAAAGATCTAAGGCAGAAGTAAAAAACACCTATTTTTCTTTATAGATTTGATAGTATAACCGAACCCCACAAAATATTATCAATATAAAAATTAATTGAATTTGCGAAAAATACGCTACGCGCTAGAGTAATATTTATAGTTGAACAACTTCTCCTAGGCCTATAATATTTTATGGAATTCAGTTTAACTATCGACTCTATCACCATGCAAAGTTTCACCCAATTCCTAGAAGAGTACACGTAAGGGTTTCCTTGTAATTCCACATAAATTTTCTCATTCCATTATAAAAGATTTTGAACTATTATATCTACAGCAGTCATTTAAAAGATTAATATTGCAATTTTATTTAATTCAAACCCAAGTGCTTAATTATCGTGTCTAAAGCAGATATATATTTGATTAAATTGTACATGTCTGACAGTAAATGTTACGCAATATTTAGCAGAGAAGTATAAACAAACCGAAGTTTCAATTATAGCTGCAGAATAGCATCACATAAACACAGCTGTAGTACTCGTTACAATGAAATTACAACCAACGGTGATGTCTGAAAATGTAATACTGAATTATCGATGTACTCCAAAATATATTAAATTTGATGTAATTGAATTATTTATATAAAAATTAAATTATGCACGCAGTGAACTCATGCACTGAGGTGGTTGTTAATGCAATCTAATTACACCCAATGGTGATGTCTCTATAATAATAATAAATAGTAGTAGCCCGAAGGCAGGTCCTTGGTGTAAGATATCTACAAATGCTACTATAAACCAAAGGTTCCATTTTATGAGGTTGCTGAGTAACTATACTATACACAATATTTCAAGTTTTATGCCACGTACAACCTGATATCAAGCAGTCGTGTAACTAGTTTTCATTTAAAAATGTAGACCTAAAGATATTTCCTAGTTAAAATAGCCTTTGAGGGTACTTTTAGCACTATATATAGAACTTAGTATCACAAAAGGTAAGAACGATCGTTGGGTTGCCATCTAATAAAAGCTAGATACAAACCAATGGTTGCTTTTCCTTTTCATTTTTTGACGCTTTTATGCATTCCATACATCCTGGTCCTGATCTTGTTTCTTGGCTTTCACTTCCTTGTAGTTTCAGAAGGCATTTTTTTTTGCCAAATAGATCTGCTCCAGTTTCCTTTACTTTTAATGATCGTGCTTAATAGACTTCATTCTTTGGCCACTTTTCTAATGATTCATTTATTTGGTAAGTTGTTTGTCCACTTTTTTTTCTCTAATCGCCTTCAGCACCACATTTCAAAATTGCCCATATAGTTTTTGTCGACTTGAGTTCATGTCTCTTTTTTATATGGAGCTGTTATGAGGATCAGAGCAGATGGGTCTATGTACTGACTTATTTATTTTAGGAAAAAAAATTAGTAATGATTTATGTTATATAATGTTTCAATTTGTGTGCTTCAAACAAGCAATATTCATGTCCTTACTTGTTTTTTTTTTTTTGCTTTTTTAGAAACACGCATCTATTTCATTACCAGCATTAGGCCTAAATAGGTAACTTTATCCAATTTATTTAAACACCGACTAAATAGATATGATTCTACTGATTAAAAATAGATGTATCAAAGATAATAGAAAAATGTCTTAAATAAGCAGTGTAAATGTAAGCATAAATTAGATTTGTCAAGTAAATCGATTTTTTTTTCACGTATGACATCACTTCAGAAAAAAAGCGTCTTTTGAGAGAAGATTCTCTTAGACTTTAATATAAATTTTTGTGTTTTGCTTATTTTGCTTTTGTATAGTGTATAAATATACATCGCATATTTCAAAGCCAACCTTTAACAAGATTCAATTTTCTTTTTTCCTGGTCTCAAATGAACTATCCCAGTAGTTTAAAAATAGTACTATGTCCTTTTATCCTTTGTATGAATATGTCAGTCTTTAAGAAAACAAAAATGTATAATTAATCAAAATACCATTAAACCTCTGATTATTGCAAATAAATTGGTTAAATTTACTTGTACTAAATTTGTCAAGTCGAGAAAAAAGGCATCTCTTCAAAGAATATGCTTTTAGATTCTAATATAAAATGATTTTGTGTGATGTATAAATATAACAAGTATATTTAAAAGCCAACGATGACAAGATTCAATTTTCTTTTTTTTGGTCTCAAATAAACTGCACTCGTAGTTTTCGAAAAATAGTACTATGTCCTTTTGTCCTTTGTATGAATATGTCAGTCTAAAAGAAAACAAAAATGTATAATTAATCAAAATTCCATCAAACCTCTTATTCTTATAATTGGTTGAATTTACTAGTACTAAATTTGTTAAGTAAATCGATTTTTTCTCAAGAAAATATGACAAAACCATCCTCAAAATTAACTTTTGAAGGAGCAATACACGTTTTAGTCTAGTCATTATAGTAAGTTCACCTCAGAATTCGAGATAACCAGATGTAAGTCTGTAAATACTTGTATATTGACATACTAAAGTTGTTTCAAATTCTGCATATATAGTATTGACACCCTACCATATGTAGGTTTTGAGACAACTTTAGGGTGTCAATATACAAGTATTTACAGACTCACAGCTGGGTATCTCCAATTCCGAGATTCTTACCTAATTTATGCTTAAATGACTGGACTATTTTAATTGATCACTGCAACAAGACTATGGCAATGACGCTCAACATCTGACCGGATTTTGATTATGGCTTTCTTCGTGTTATGCAGTTACTAAAACTAGCATATTTGTAAATAAGGCCACTGTGTCATTTTGTCCATATACGAGTAACGTTTTGTCCATAGTTTCCATAGTAATATTTTTTTATTATTTTTATGGCTATAGTTTAGTTTAGCACTTAGACGTTGCTGTATGCCATAAAAATGTATTGATCTTAGAATGATTGATTTTCTGAACATAATAATGTTAATTTAACTTATATCAAAGTATGGATTAGTAAGTACGACTTTCAACAAAGGCCATTTTTTTTAATTTTTTTTTGTACATTTTTAATTACAATTTGTCACATTTAGGACGTTCAGTAATTGTTTCGACTTCATTATATAGATTTTTTTCTAATGGATGGCAACCCAGTGGTTGTCCAATCCAATTATGACTAATTAACTATACTCGAAGTATTTTCTGACATTTTTATGCACAGGTCATTTTTAATAAACTAAATGTACCCTATTCGTAACTGAAATGAAAGCTTTCTCTGTTGACGTAATTAAATCGTACTGTATATTACTCGAATGTAATTCTAGTTTACCCGATCGAGTGCACCAGCCATGTGAATAGAAATATACATACATGTATATATATATAT